AAATCACTTCTGAAATTGTTCTTTCAAATCTGAAATGACTAAATTTGCAAATGAGGAAGGAAATTCTGCTTCACCCTTTTTATGCAACTCTGCTCAGTATAGCATATGAACAAAGTTACAATTTTTCATTTGGCTTTCCAGAAGTATCAGCTTTGCTCTGAATGCCTTAATAAGCGCAAATAAATCACAGACTAAGTTATTTTCACCCTGCAACTTTAAATTCAAATGGTTCATATGGTTCACCAGATCAGCAAAAAATGCCACTTGGTATCTGATAAAAGTGGTTCGTGATGGTTTTTCTCGATAAGAACTATATCAATTTTATTCCTGAGCTGAAAGAAGCGCGAAAGAACCTTTTCACAGCTAAGCCATTGAACTTCAGTATAATATGTCAGGTCAATAAGCTCGGAATCACATTTACCAGTACTCATTGGAAAATTAGTTCAGTTGGCGCATTTCTGCACAATTCTTTCACGGGCCGGATAAAATCACATCGTGGGCTGGATGTGGCCCGCGTGCCGTAGTTTGGAGACCCTTGGTCTATCCTATCATCATTCCTCTCCCTTTTCCCCCCTTAAATTTGTGTGGAAATTAATTTATATCTTGTAAGAATGAGGTTGGGAACAGAAAGGGTGGAAAAGGGTTAAAAGAGTTAAACAATTAATGAATGGTTCATCTGATGTCACTCTGTCAGGGAAGCAAGGAAGATGTGCCGAAAGCTGAAAGTGTCTCCAGAGCCATTTCTGTTGAAGCATTATAAAGATGGCGAGTTTCACAAAGACTATGACCGCCTGGACACAGTGCAGTCAATGGTGAATTTCATGCGTGACCCAACAGGGGACATACCGTGGGAGGAGGACAGCACTGCTATCGATGTTGTCCACATATTGGATGCCTTGGTAAGCTTGTATTGCAGAACGTTGCTTACTAATTAGCTGCAGTGGTCTGTTACTGGTGTTGAAATTGATGTACCAAAGGCAAAGGTAAAAGAGGAGTCCCGAGATGACGCTGTCCCTCTAACAGGCCATGGAGTCCCATAGGGTTGTGAGACATCAAGGCTCTCACATTTGCTAAACATTCAGCACACAGATGGTGGTGAGATTAAAGTAAAGCTATCCCTGTAACAGGCCATGGAGGCCCATAGGGTTGTGAGACGTCGATGCTCCCACATTTTCTAGACAGTCGGCTCACAGATGGCAGTGATTTTAAGTAAAGCTATCCCTGTAACAGGCTGTGGAGGCCCATAGGGTTGTGAGATATTGAGGCTGCCACATTTTCTACACAGTTGGCTCACAAATGGTGGTGAGGTTGTCAGCTTTACATGCTGGATGGCCACCCTTTACCCTGAGGAAGATTCCTGGTACTCATTTCTGTTAGGGGCTGAATCGACCTGGGGCCCATAGTATGGATGAAAGGCTTAGGTAAGTTATAAAATCCATTGATGTCATTGGGAATTCAGTCCATGACCTTCTGGCTTGTAGCATAGTGCCTCAACAGGTACACTACTGCGTATCCTAAGATGACAAGATAATAGGCCTTTCTTTCTGACTTTGTTGTATTTTGTTCCTCTGTCCTACTGTGTAAATAGCTGATGAGATAATGCTAAAATTGTCTCTGTGCTTAATTGAGTACCATGCCCTGAAGACATTTGAAGGAATGGAGTTATAGCTCCACATAATCTTAATCTTGTTAGTAGGTGGATGTGAGTGGTCACTGTCATGCCGTGACACTTTTTCATCTGGGAAAGAGGTCATGAGGCTGCGGGGTGAGCCCCAAAGCCAATATCGACACTGTGGAGAAGAGAAAAGCCTCTTGACCATGCCAGGCTTGACTCCTTTCAGTTGCTGAGATTTCGGGAATTTATGCATCATCCTGTTTTTTATTTAAAACAACGTTTTGGAGACTGGATCCTGTCTTCGTTTTCAGGTAAAAGCTTATTCGTTTGGGCCCAAGTGAGTCGGATTTTATTTAAAAAAAGTTGAAGGCAGGATCTCATCTTCAAAACAGTTTTTCTAAATAAAAATCAGGCTGATGGATAACATCCAGAAACCCAATTATTGTATTAATAGATCATTGTCAGAAACTTTTAGATCTTGATTTCTTGGTTGCCCAACCTAATTTTGTGTAGTCACTACGCTGACTCGGCTATCCTGGATCTAGATACCAAGGTAGTATTCATATTGTGGTCTTATACTTTGTAACACTGTATGGTGTAATAGGTGAGTACTGGGCTTTTGGAGGAACATTCTGCTTCTGTCTTCAGAGTGGAAGATTAGGCACCATGTTCCTTCAAAACATCCCATTTCTACCCTAAAGATGGAGGCATTGAATTCCCTGAAATCGTCATTACACACCTACCTGACCACAGGGCGCATAACCTAGATGACCACAATGTGAATCTTCACCACTGTGATAACCTAAGATCATTTAGCAGGGAAATATCTTTGTGTAATGGCTGCTACTCAAGACTCTTTGATCGTAACTGTAACCACATCTCTTTGATCTTCAGTAGTTAACCTAGTTGTCTTTGTATTTGTATGGAACTTCTTTTTCCCAGGTTACATATGCATGAATTGAGAGGCAGGTCTTTGCAAAAGAAAACCAGTTTCACCCTTGCAGCCAACATGCAAATAATATAAAATATGAAGCCATCATTTGGGGGCACTCGGTAGCATAGTTGGTTGAGGCACTATGCTACAAACCAGAAGGTCACAGGATCAAATCCCGATGAGGTCATTGGATTTTTTTTCAATTTACGTAATCCTTCCAGCTACACTATGGTCCTGAGGTCGACTCATCCTCTGGCAGAAATGAGTAACAGGAATATTCTTTGGGTTAAAGGGTGGCTGGCCCATAGGGCTGACAACCTCACCGCCATTTATGAGCCAATTGTCTAGAAAATGTGGGAACCTCAACATCTCACAACCCTATGGGCCTCCAAGGCCTGTTACAGGGATATCTTTACTGCTTACTTATGGAGCCATCACTTGCATGTCATATAGAAGTATCCATGGAAGAAAAGCTTTCTACACACAAAAAGAGCATAAACAGTTCTGTTCAAGAACAATACTTAACCACGACTGGTATTGATGCGTGTTCAGCATTTTGGTCTTCACACCGTATGTATGTGTGCTTATGCCTTGTGAATACTTGGATATATGACTGCTTGGGATCACCAGTAGCCAATGGTTTTTATTTCATTCCACGGTCCTTATAAGGGCCATCAATTAACTTTCATAGCTTTGCGGGTCATCAGTATATATTGGCCAGGCGTGGTACTGGCCCCCACTTATCTTCTTCCCATTGGGTATATTCAGAACAGATATCTGGAAGTGGTAATTTACCAGCCTTACACACTTTGATTCTGAAGATGGAGGCACTACATCTGAAACGTTTGACAACAGTGCCAACATTCATGTATGATGACCCAACATCAACACTGGCAACAGTAAGCAACCATGAGAACCTACTGTGTCTTTGAGAGCAGCAAGTTCACGTTCGGTTTCAGTGACCTCAAAGTCAGTAATGTCAATGACCTCATGTCAGTAATCTTAGTCTCAAATTTCCTGCATCAGAGATTTTTCTCAGTTCAAATCTCAAAGAAATGTTAAATTGTGGATTCACTGTATCGTAACATTTCTCTTTATTTGGAACAGTTGTTGTCTCACTGTCTGCAAACATGTATATGCTTGATGTCAATTTGTATCACTAGTGTTTTGCTGTAATGGTGCTGCACTCTCCTCTTCTTTAACCTTCGCTGTACTGCAGTTGGCTGCACTTAACAGCACTTTCTGTGTCACTTCTGCACTGTGCTGCCTCTCAGTTCAGACCTTTCTCTTTGAGAATTTTGACACTACATTTCATTTGCATGAACCTTTGGAAACCAGAGAGGATGTATAAAATGGGAGCAGTCCCTCAAGAGGTTTCCTGTTGGTTCTTGTTCAGGCTTGGCCTTCAGCAGTTTCTAGAACCACCTACAATGGGGCAGTCTTAATGTTTTGAGCAAATAGGAGGTGCATGTGAGCATCCCTTCCTCCAGCTGCTGTGACAGCATTAAAGAATTTTGGTTGCTCTTCACTTGAGTATAAAAATCATTAGTCTATATCTAGGAGATGTAACCATGAAGAAACAAATACATGCAGTACATTCTTCTGAAATTCTGATACCCACCTATCAGGCTGCATGGTGTCTTAAACCAAAAGACCACAATATGAATTTGTACATCCATGAAAACCTCAGATTTCATACTGTGGGATTAGTTAATATATGTTACTGTTGCAGAGTTTGTCTAAATTTCTGAGAAAGGAGATGCGACCCATTTTAGTTCTCTTCTATGCCCCCTGGTGTGGCTTCTGTAAGCAGCTGAAACCTGAATATGCAGCAGCTGCTACAGAACTGAAAGGTCATTCAGTTCTGGCAGCCATTGACGTGAACAGACCAGAGAATGCCATCATTAGGCAGCAGTACAACATTACAGGATTTCCCACAATGCTGTACTTTGAGTAAGTTTCATGCCCACAGACATTACATATTAGAATTATTCTTTGTATCAAAGTCATTGCTGTCTTCTGCCTTGAAGATGGAGGTGGCAGGTTTCTCTGAAATATTTGTACCTAGCTCCCAGACTCTGCGTGGCATTACATTGCAGAAGATATTCATTGCCACTTGAACCCCAGATCTCACGTATGTGATATGTCATACAGTGATACCACGATGGGAAAAAGGCACAGAACTTAAAAATAAATATGATCTCCTGGATTATATACATCTAAAAGATGAGAATGAGATGTCAGAAGTGTCAAATCTCAGTTCCTTATCATATTCAGAATGCTTGTAACTGTGTTGCATTTCTTTAAGCCATATTTGTAGTGGAATGTGCATGTTGTGAAAATTTTAAATTTCCATTTCATTTTAATCGATGGATTCTAAATAAATTAATTGAAGTAAACACATTTTTCTAAAATCCTCATTTAAAAATTAGTTGCATCTTAAATTTGAGGGCATCTTATATTTGAAGTAATGTGGTATGAGGGAGGGTCAGTAAATAGGTCACAAATGGATATAAAATGTAAAACGGGATATTCAAACCTGGAAAAACATTTATTTCTCTACATATCCTCCACCAACAGTGATACATTTGTCCCATCATTTTACCTGCATCTGATTTATAACAGTTTATCCTGTTCAGCAGAAATGGAAACCAGAAGTTTATGTATGAGGGTGAAAACAACAAGAATGGCCTAGTTGGCTTCATGAAGAACCCAAGTAAACCTCCAGAGAAACCAAAGGAGGATGACTGGTCGGCAGTCAAGAGTGATGTTGTGCATTTGACATCAGAGAACTTTGACACTGTCATTGCAGTATGTAGTTGGTTCTTTTTTATCCGTTCAAAACACAGTAGTAAATATATTTACCACATGCTTTAACATTAAAGATCTCTGGATATTGAAGAGATCTGTCATCTGGAGGAGAGTGATATGTAGTTTGTTGAAAGTCAACTGGCATTTTGGAGGAATATGTTACCTCCATCTACATGGTTGAAAAATTTGCCAAGCTTGCTGTCTGCTTCATGTTGGTTCGTTGTATGGCTGATCCTTTGACCTGGAAGATGGAGGCGACATATTCCTTCAAAATATCGGTTGAGTTTCAGCGGACTAAATGGTATTATATCCAACAAAGAACTTTTCATAACAACTCCTGTGAGTTGTTATTTTGCATTTTGCCTACAGATTATGTGTTGCATGTGACTCTCAGAATAAACAGTATTTATTTCCCTGAACAGCAGTAATCTGTTTGTTTCTGTAATAGAGATGTAGTGTGTTTCCTGTGAGGTACGAGCTGAATCTTTAAATATTATTTAGTTGAACTTCAGGCTTCAGAGGCTTACATTTTGCCCATTATTAATTCTTAATGTTCAGTCTCAGTTTCTGTTGTAGATTATACTGAATAAGATTTCATTTTATCTTTTCCAAGACAACATGAAATTGACTGTAATCTTAAATAATTTTCTTTTTTAATATTTTTCAGAGAGAGTCATCTGTGTTGGTGATGTTTTATGCTCCTTGGTGTGGTCACTGCAAAAAGATGAAACCAGAATATGAGAAGGCAGCTGCTCTTCTGAAAGCTGAGAAAGTGAGTCACAGTTCCCAATTCAGTTACCTAAGGGGTAATCCTAACCTTTCACTGTCTGTTAGAGATATGGAGGAGTGTTTAGGCTTCTTTCTATAATTTCCTTTCTGTCAGAGACATGCATATCCTAGAGCAGATTGATGCAGCATTCTTCACCATGATAACATGCAAGCTCCTCATGACTAACAAAGCTTTTGGTCATGTTTCATGTTACTAAGCTGAATGAATGCCCATATTCTCCTCTCTTGGTTTCTAACAACTTCTTTTTTGGAAGGGACTTCGGAATCTCTGATTAAGACATTCGTCTGTTATTCATGTGGGTTTTTCTACACACAGATTGTAACCATAGTCTCTTTTGAAGATAATGCAAAGAATGCCATGCCCTCCTCCCGTTGTTTAGAGCTCATGTGAAGCTCTGGGTCCTTCCATGATAAGGCTGTCATTCGATTTAAAAGAATTTGAACCGCCGGAGGGTGTGCGGCTGGAGATCAGCTCCATCTGAAGGACCCAGCAGAGTAAGTTTTCTTACTTTACCTGATAATGGAAGGGGAACCAGCATACAGAACATTGTGTTTCTTTAACTAGAATGAGAGAATGGCATACATACATACATACATTTCATAACTTTAAGAGTGCTGTCTTCTGGGATGTGATGCCTTGTAGATGTTGTGTGAACCGACGTTTTGGAGGAACGTATCACATCCATCTTCAGGATAGAAAATTCTGCTAGCGAGGAACCAGCTTGAACTCTCGGATTTTTCTACCCTGAAGATGGAGGCGATATGGACTCAGTCTGTAGCCACCTGCTCAAGCTGGTTGCTCATTCACGAATTTTTCTACCCTGAAGATGGAGGCGATACGTCCTCTGAAACGTCTGTTCATGCAAGATCTACACAGCGACACATCCCAGAATAGGGCATTCTTCATAGTCACTGCCATGAAAACCTCAAATCTTACATTTTGTAACTTGTTGCTTATTCCTCCAGTAGCATTGGTTTTTGTTTTGACAGATTGCTGGTATTGCTGCGGCTCTAGATGCCACTAAGGAAGCAGCCATCGCGGCGAGGTATGCTATACGAGGCTATCCCACGGTTAAATACTTCAGGGCTGGGGAGTTTGCGTTTGACATAAATGCGCGAGAGGCAGCAAAGATCATAGAATTCATGCGCAATCCTCGTGAACCTCCCCCTCCACCTCCTCCTGAAACTCCATGGAGTGAGGAGCCATCAGAAGTGGTACATTTAACTGAGGAGACGTTCAGGTCATTCTTAAAAAAGAAGAAACACGTCCTTGTCATGTTCTATGCTCCATGTAAGTATTCAAGGAAAGCTAATGCTCTTTGAGGTACCACTGGAATTCTCTGTCAGCTGTGACACTTTCCTTTCATATTCCCATATCATTACATCACGTCCAGATTCGTTGTCATTTCTTGTGTGGTTTATTTTACGATGTGATACCTGGACTGATGAACTGGAGGGGATTTGGAAGGAAGTGGCCATGATCTAATCAAGGTAATATTCGAATGTATGACATGAGGGGCTTCAGGAAATCACCAAGAACCACAGAGAGGATAGCCATTGAGTGCCTTGCAAATACAGCGCCCTGCTCAGTGTCATGTCCAACATTACGTCTCTCCATATGACTTGGTATCTCTGCAGCCCCACCTTTGCTGACATTATGTGACTGAGCAGTGTTTGTTATTGTGGGAAGACTGTTTCTGTGTCATGGATGGTATGCATATGCGTGTGTTTTTGTTGGTGCGTCATCCCCTTGAGTGAATTGCAACCAGTTTTGAACCTTCTTTCACCAGAAGTGTTATCACACATTGCTGCTTCACCTTCTTGCTGACTTCTACATGTGCCATCTTTATATATGACTAAATACATGCATGCAAGTATGATTAGCACATGGAAATAGCAGGCAGTTTTTTTTTTTTAGTTTTTTGGGGTGGGGGTGAGACTGAGTCCACTTAGTATGTCAGCCACTAATTGGCCTATTGTACCAGCCCTGGATGTTGATGATGATGATGATGATGAACGTGGAACAGTTGGATTGAGAATTGAGAGGGGAAGCCGAAGTACTTGGAGAAAACCTGCCGCAGTGCCACTTTGTCCATGACAAATGCCACATGACCTGATCCGGGCTTGAACCTGGGCTGCCGTGATGGGAAGCGGGCGAGTAACTGCCTGAGCTATGTCACGGCCTAAAAAGTAGGTAAAGTTACTCTGTGCATCATAAAGAACCATGCCATGATGATGCATGGGGGGATAGGAAGTATGGCTCCACAGATCCTGCACATTGGCAGTGTATGGATGTAGGTGTGAAAGTGAGTCAAGTTTACGGTAGGTGAAATGGAGCGAAGATTGTTATCTTCCCTGGGCCCATTTGATACTATTTGGGTTCATCTTGGGTCTTAGAGAAGAGTAAGTGAGTCAGTGATAACTTACAGATAGGTCTCAGTGGGTAGTTGGTTTAGGTGCTATGCTACAAGCTGGAAGGTCACGGGTTCAAGTCCTGATGAGGTCATCGGATTTTTTCAATTGACCTAATCCTTCCAGTCGCAGTATGGCCCTTGGGTCGACTCAGCCTCTAACAGAAACGAGTACAAGGAATTAATTAAATAATTTTCCTGGGGTTATAGGGCGGCCGGCGTGTAAGGCAGACAACCTTACCACCATCTATGAGCTGATTGTCTAGATAATGTGGGACCCTCAACATCTCACAACCCCATGGGCCTTCACGGCCTGATACAGGGATAGCTTTACTTTCTTTTTACTTTTACTCAGTGGGTATGTAATTAACAAACAGTAACGAGGCCATGACATACACACTGAGCCCTTTTGTATTTACAGACATGAACACTGATCTTGGTGTTGTTTTCATATGCGGCATGGTGGTGGATCATGGGGCAAAGGTCTAAGTATGCTTCTTCAGTGTGTAGACACACTTATGCCAGTGTCCCTGCTGGTACTCGAAGAACCCTTGAAACTGACATTTTCAATGTCAACAGCTGCTTCAGTGCACATTGTATTGTTGATGTATTGTTTGTTTATCATAAGTAATTCAAGTTAGTTTTTTTAGTTTGTTGGGGTAGGGTGAGACTTAGTCCACTTGGTACGTTGGCCACTGTTTGGCTTATTGTACCAGCCCCAGATGTTGATAATGAATGTGGAGCAGTTGGTGGAATTAGAATTGGCAGGGGAAACTGAAGTGCTTGGTGAAAACCTGCCCCAGTGCCACTTTGTCCACCATAAATCCCATCTGACCTGACATGGGCCTGAACCCGGGCTGCGGCGCCAGTAACTAAGCCCCCGAGCTATGGCACAGTCTGATTCAGGTTATGTAGTGTCAAATTATACAGTAAGTGAATAATTGCTTTGAAAGGATCTGAAAGGAAGCAGTTCTGTCTTAATTTGAGGTATTAAACTAAGTCCATGAGTCTGTACCCAACTGAGTGCTGGGTCCAAGTAACGAGCCTGTAACTCAAGGACTGAGGTTGTGATAATGTGCTGCCTGTCCAGCATTATCGCTTACCTAACAGGATGGCTGTAGAGGGGTATAGAGCATCATGGAATGGCATTTAGCCCAAGGTAGTGAGTAAAATGTGAAAGGAACTCAGTTGTTAGGCCAACCAATCTCAGGTCAAGATTTGAACGCATGCCTCTTGAATATAGAGCAGGAGTGTGACCCATTTGATCATGATGTTCAGTTTTCACGTCATCAAGTCTGTTGTTGAATGTCAGGAGCTGCACCTCCATTCCCCATGCAGGTTCATGCCATAGTGCTTAAGTAAATACAGGTATAACTGTATGACTCCTCTGGAATGTTTCTGCAGGGTGTGGTCATTGCAAGAAGGCAAAACCAGAATTCACAGCTGCGGCAGAACACTTCAAAGATGACCCAAAAGTAGAATTTGCCGCCGTAGATTGCACAAGATACACTGCCGTATGTGAAGCCACGGACGTCAAAGGATATCCCACAATTAAGTACTTCCACTATCATACCAAAGAAACCAAGAGCTACAACGGAGGTCGCATGGTAAGCATAAAATTTTAATTAAAGTAACATAGAAATACTTAGACAATTTAAGTTGGAAAACCTGAAATTAAGAGATGACTGGAAGGCCTAGGCATAGATTGAAAGGTAATATTAAAATTGCTCTAGAAGAATTAGGGAGGAAGCTATGGACTGGATTCATCTGGCTCAGGTTAAGGACCGCAGGAGTCAATGGACAGAGTTCAAAAACCCAGTAATCGTGAGGGACCTACATGTTATATAAAAGTTGTTGAACGTGTAGAAAATGTTCTAAATTAGATTCTGTTAAAATCTTTTTATTTGGCATCCATCCAGAATTGCTGGAAACAGTCCAAATATTGTTCATCCTCAGTTTGGATGGTTACATATAGTGGCAGTTCTTGTTCAGCGTGATCTTTGTTGCAACAGAATAGTGGTGTCTGATGTTCTGTACGAAATGTAGATGTGCTGAAACTGTCATGTCACTTTCAGTATCCCAGATCAAATATGTCATGGTTGACCCAGCCTCTAACAGAAATGAGTACCAGGAATTATCCTGGGGGGTAAACAGTGGTCAGCGTGTAAGTCTGACATCCTCACCTCCATCTGTGAGTCAGTTTTTTAGAAAATGTGGGAGCCCTGATGTCTCACAGCCCTATGGGCCTCCACCGCCTATTAGAGGGATAGCTTTACCTTCACTATTTCAGGTTTGTTGTAACGTGTTTATTCATAGGAAAAGCCATACCTTTTTAATAATATAAAACTTTCTTTTGTGTTACATTTATACCAATGAGATAATCACAGTGGTGATGATCTACATTCATATTCTGGATGTGCTTGGTTTGAATATTGGCTGTAACACTGGGTATCCTGACTGTGGTTTCCCATTGCTTTCCTCAGACCCTGTAGGAAAATGCCAGGATAGAATCTTGATTAGGCTGTAACAGCTTCCATCCAGATCCTGTCTGGTTTATCATTTGCAAATCACCATACCATTTAATGCTATGAAGTTGGTAAAGCTATTCCTGTAACAGGCCGTCAAGGCACATAGGGTTGTGAGATGTTGAGGCTGCTACATGTTCTAGACATTTGGCACACAGATGGTGATGAAGTTAAGTAAAACTATCCCCGTAACAGGCCGTGGAGGCCTATATGGTGGTTAGATTTCAAGGATCCCACATTTTCTATACAATGAGCTCACAGATGGCAGTGAAGTTGTCAGCTTTACTCATTTCTGTTAGAGGCTGAGTCAACCCCAGGGCCTTATTGGGAATTGAACCCACAACTATACAGTCTGGTTACTGATAACATTGTAAAAAATAAACGAGACACGTGATATACTGAAATACTGGAACTGAGGTTATAATTTGTTCTTTCAGGAGTCAGACTTTGTGAATTTCATGAAGAATCCTCTTGGTCCAGTTGTAGATGCCACCACAGCACCCGATAAGGTGGAGCAAGAGGAATGGGGTGATTATGAAGGGGCAGAAAATCTTGTTCACCTTATGGATGACACATTTGACACTTTTGTCAGCTCAGGAGACCCAGTACTAGTCATGTTTTATGCACCTTGTATGTATCCGAGTAAATATTTAAATTCAGGTTATATATATCTATATATAGAGCTGTGCACATGTTTAAAAAAGTGGTATGAAGACATGGGAGAGTGGAGGTATTGCTCCACACATTTTTAGGAGTTGGAAGTGAGTGATCAGCTTCAAGCCTTGGCTGATTTTCTTATAGGGAAAGAGCCTCTGGTACCCCTTGGAGACGGGGCTTGATGAGCACCAGAGCTAATGTGGATAGTGTGGAGAAGAGAAAATCTCTAGGCCCTGCTGGGAATCAAACTGCAATTCCTTGGGCCTCCATCCCATAGCCAATCAATTTAGTGATTGAGCTATCACAACTCTTAGTATATAAATTAATCACATTTTAAATTGACGGTTGTTTGTTGAACATGTTAAGTTCTTGTGAATTCAGGTAATCCTTTTGTTATTCTCTTTATATAACATTTGTCTTGACCAGAGAAGACTTCTTGTTGAAGCACTTGTGGGCAGTGGTTCATGTCCAGGTTAAGACGTTCCCATCGTGACATGACTTGCTGTGCAAGAAGACTGCATTACATTTGCTCACTGTTTGAAAGCCTCAGATCTTGTATTAATTATCTCAGTCTGTAACATTGTTCTTGTTGCCTTGCATGGGTGTTTAACTTGGTCTGACCTCTGACACGAAGGGAAACTTGAGTACTAAGGATATTAATGTACAGGCTGTATGAGAGCACTTCTGGACAGTGTAATGACTGTTACGGTTCCATAAAACATAGGGAATGTCTTGATTAGTTAAGGAACTGTTAACTTGTCAAGACGAACTGATGTTCATGGAGTTAGTTATGAGGTTAAAGAGATTTTACATTTGTTACTGATGTTGATAAACTATCTCAGAACAAGCTGAACCACTTAAAGAATCATTACATGCTGTGGCCGTCTGTGTTATGGGGGTTGAGGCAAGGGAATTTTGTCCTTAAGGAAGTAATAAAACACAAACATATAATCAAACACACTATGGTGGAGCTAACATTGTAGACTTGTGTTCAGGAAGTACTGAGTTCAGATCTTGGCCCTGACGCCAGCTAGCCTGACTTTAGCCTTTCATTGTTGTCAGTTGCTCCAGGCAAATGCCAGGATATTATCTCAGTCAGATCATGGTTACTCTGTTTTGAATCCTTTCCAGTTCATCAGTCGTCCTGCAGTCCAATGCTTATATAGTTTTGATGCTGAGAGTAACCGATGACTAGTGTGGGTGTACAGGGTGGTACTGATGTGCTGCTGTTATAGGGCACCAGATGTACACTGTATATCCTTTGTGCTTGAAGGCCTGTAGTCAGCATTCCATGGTAGGATACGGTAGAGCGTCATCCCCACATCATGTGTATCGTGGTAAAGGCTTGATCTTGCGGTTTGGAAATCATTCTTTAGAGCACTGTGTAACATGATGGCTTCATTGCTTTGCTGTGGCCGTGTGAACAACTGCTATGACTTCAACAGTGCCATACACGCCCATCCTGGTGGATAACGTGGGTTGTGTATGCATGTATCAAGAATTAGCATTGTTGTATCACCGGTGGTATTGCCACTACATGTTTGATTACACTTGTATGTCCAGGTTTGTTTAGAACAAGTAATTTGTGTTAAATAAGTCCTCTCATCCTACTTTCTTCCATTAATTTATTAATTTTCTCTTATCATCTTTACTTTGTCTTCCCCCTTCATTTGTTCAGTGCGACCGTACCATCTTCACACTCTGTTTCCTAGCTTATTTGTTGTTGACGGATCAACATCCATCCTTCCCGTCATGTTTCATTCCTCACTCTACGCTCTGCATTCCTTATCACCAGGGCTCGGATTTTGATGACATGTCATCTTTTTTTCCTTGTATCCTATGCAATGCTCTTAAATATATAAATCTCAGATATGAGCTGTTGGTTACAGAAATGTAAATTTAATAGGTAATTTTTTGTCATTTTTTTACATTTTTAGGTTTAAGGTCATTTTTTCATTTTTGGGGTAATTTTTTGGGTAAATTTTTGGACTTTTAAGGATATTTCTTGTCATTTTTGGCCATTTTAGGGAATTTTTCTTCATATGTTTTCTGAAATGTGAATGACATGGAAGTAAAGTGTTCTTTCTTTTCTCCTTTAGGTCATTTTTCTGAATTTTTTCGGTCACTTTTTGAATATTTTCAGGTCATCAAAATCCGGGCCCTGCATATTACATTTTTGGGTCATATTTTAGGTCATTTTTCTGGATTTTTTCGGTCATTTTATAGGTCATTTTTTAAATATTTTCAGGTCATTAAAATCCCTGCCATGCTTATCACTGATATTTATCTCTTTATCCATCCTTTATCTATGTATCTCACTGTCTCAATATATATATATATATATATAGATGTATAGGGAACCGCGATAGCTCAGTATATTGACTGGCTACAGGCTGGGCAGTGGAGTTAGAGTCCCAGTAGGGGACAACATTTTGTCTTCTCCATGTAGCCCAGATTGGATCTGGGGCCCACCTGGCCTATCAAATGGGTATTGGGGGCTCTTTCCCTGGGGGTAAAGTGGCTGGGGCATAAAGCTCACAACTCACCTCTAACTAGTGCCAAGATCAAGAAAACATTGCTCTATACATCCACTCCCCCATAAGTCTTAATTGCATAGTGCTTAATTAGTTAAGCACAGGGTAAATTTATATATGTATAGATGGGCAAATAAATCAACAGACAAAGGTAACATTAGTTTCTTCCCATACTGTTTAATTCCTTACTCTGTTTTCTGTTATGAACTGAAGGCAACTCCCAAAATATTCAAATTCAGCCATCCATATTTTGCTCATCAGTATTTCACTTAATGGCTGCATATCAGTACCATAATAACAGAATGATTATGACATCATAAAATATCTGTAAGCGGAGGGGGTGTGCAGTAGCATAGTTGGTTGAGGCACCATGCTATAAGCTAGGAGGTTATGGGTTTGATTCCTGATGAGGTCATTGGATTTTTCAATTGACCTAATCCTTCCAGCAGCACTGTGGCCCAGGGTTTGACTGAGCCTGTAACAGAAATGAATACCATGAATCTTCCTGGGGGCAAAGGGCAGCCGGTCAGTGCATAAGGCTGACAACCTCACTGCCATCTGTGAGCTGATTGTCTAGAAAATGTAGGAGACCTGATGTCGCACAACCCTTTCGGCCTCCACAGCCTGTTACAGGGATAGCTTTACCTATAAATGGAAGTGCAACTTGCTACAACAGGTCAACAAATTTCTGTACTTTTTTGTTACAGGGTGTGGCCATTGTAAGCGAATGAAACCCTCATACAGTCTGGCAGCACTGCAGATGAAAGCGGAGAACATCCCAGGTGTCCTCGCTACAGTGGATACCACAGTGAATCCTAAATTATCAAGTAAATTCAATATCTTGGGATTCCCAACTTTGAAATACTTTAATAATGGAAAGTTCATATCAGATTATGACAGAAAACGAAGTGCAGAAGACATCAAGACCTTTATGAAATCACCACCTCCTCTCATTGGCAACAAGGATGAGCTCTGAAATAATCAATTTGCTCAATGATAACCTGTCATTACTCTCAAATGTGATTTTAGCTCACTTTTAAAAGTCTGCATTTGAACAGGAGTTGTAATGCTACTTTGTAACCGTCTTGAAACCAATGTTGGCCACAGCTGCATCATCGTATCCTTGTGTGTGTTGTAAATAGAGTTTGTTGTCATAAGGTATGAGAGCATGAAGCTACCACAAATTAAGCATTCCCACTAATTTGATGGTCTGTGAAATGAATCTTCTCACTAATAAAGCCGATGGGTGTTGGAAGCTTGTTTTGGTGCGTATTAATTCTAACAGATATTAAAGTAAGATCTAGATATATCTTGCTTTGCTATTGAGAGATAAGGTTTTAGGAGCTGGAATGCTGGAAAGTGACACTGATCTCAAGAAACTTAATTAACTGATTCCAGTCAATTAATCATTGTTTATTTCATATATTAATTTTGGAGCAAATCAGAGATATGAAGGCAGAGTGATGTTCTGTAGCAATGTGCAACTTTGATGTGAAGGTTGAAGGAGTGACTTACTAATATAAGATGATGTTGATTTAGGTTTTGCAGTTGTGGGTGAGTGTTTATGTTGCGATCTAGGTTATGACAGCTTGAACAAAAGGAGGATGGAAGTTCTGTCCAAACGTCTGATTTTCAACTTTTGTTTGCCAGAGCCCCAAAGACTGCTTTTCTTGCATTCCCATGCCCTTCCTATGGCATGACTGTTCATGTCCCCAATAAGAGGTGATTTATTTATTGCATTTGCTGTTCACCATTTCTGTTGGCATGGACTGGACTCTGTCTCCACCTTCTGTCTAATGGATCTAAGTCACTATCTTCTGCGCTGCCTACCTATGTGACCTGTCCACATCCTCACTGAACTAAATTCAATCCTGAAGATGGAAGCATCATGTGTGGTGTTGACATACAGTAACTGCATGGTGTGGCTGAGCCATGGCTCAAGCAGTTAGTTGCTGGCTTCCCACCGCAGTGGCCCGGTTTTGATCCCAAGTCTGGTCAAGTGGGATTTGTAGTGGACAAAGTGGCGCTGGGGCAGGTTTTCTCTGAGTACTTCTGTTTCCCCTGCCAATCTTCATTCCACCAAATTCTCCATCATAATCACCCAGGGCAGGCTATAATAAACCAATCGGTGGCCGCCATGCCGAGTGGAACCAGTTGGACTCCACCCCCCACTAAGCAAATTTAACTGCATGGTGTCATGATCCAGAGGACTACATCTTAACCACACTCCATTTTGTGACAACATGCATCTTTGTTGATACACGAGCATGTAGGCACAACATAACTTATAGCACTGCACGAAACTTTGCTGAAGTATGTTACATATTGAATCATGATTACTGGATGCAAGGAAGCTCACTTGTACAGGAAGGTAAAGTTGTCCCTGTGCTTAATCTAGTGCCACAGCATGATGACATGTGGGGGAGTGGCGATACAACTCCGTGTGTTCATAATGTGAGTGATCAGCTTCACATCCTGGCTGCGATACTCCTGGGGAGGAGACTGTCTCTTGGACAGCAGGCTGGGTGAGCCCCAGTGCCAGTCTGGATGTGGTGGTAAAGTTGAAAATGTCTGCCCCTGCCAGGAATGAACTCCATTCATCACTTAGCATAGATGCCATATTGACTGAACCACAATTTGAACATTACTGTCATCTGTGATGTGACATTATATATTATGGTAGATGTTTATCAGCATTTCAGATGAACCTGCTATGTCTGTGTCCAGGGCTGTCATGTTTAACACGCGGTTTCAGAGGTGTGGAAGAGAATGTCATGAACTGAGACGGATAGTTTAAACAAAAGAAAATCAAACCTTTTCAGTTTTTATGTAGATCAGAGAAGCTTGAACAGTCAGTTTTTGTGAAGACCTACATTGCAATACTACATGCATGCATGCCTCTCAAGCATGACTCAATAAATATTTACTGATACAGAGTATGCTTCAGACAAGAGATACAGAGAAGACTGAAGCACATGCTATGCTCAGTTTCACTGGTGCAAATTTTATGGTTTTGGGGGGTAATTAAAAGAAATGATACTCAGAAATTTCTGAAAGCGTTTATTCAGGAATGAACAGTGGTGTTTGAAAATGCACAGAGGTCATCAAGATAATAGCATTAATCAAGACGAATGCGGAAACATAAGATGAAACAAACTTCTCAAATCTCATGCAAATTTTGGATCTGAGCACAAACATTTTTGTATCACCCCATGGTTTTTGTATATTGAATTTTTTATCTGAAACAGTCTTTTTCTTGTTTTACACTCAGTCTCCTTACAATTCTGTCAATTGTAGTGTGAGAAAAATGCGTTATTAGTGACCAAAAGTTTATTCTGATTTAAATGGTGTAATAAGGCTTATGCATATTCATATATCTTGTATACAAAAGAAGTAGAGGGTGTACAAATGGGTTTTTACAGCTTTTTGGTTGTTATTTATGTGATACCTGATTCAGTTAAAAAATGCTTATTTCACACATGTTATAAAACAATCTGAAATTTTGTTGTGATGTGTAAGTGAATGAAACTTCCTCCCAACTAAACATTTACATCTGCATATAGAGAAATATGATATTTAACTGACATCTAATTGAATGTGCTGCAAACTTCACTTACTCAGACTTAAAAACTTTGTCCCTTGCAATGTAATTAAACAAAAAGAGCAGATGTGTCAGAATTGTTGTGGTGTTCACACATGCACATCTTGGTCTGTTTCCTGAGTCATTCCATATACCTTTAGGAAGAATGTGAGATGTTGCACATATACAGGGTGTCCCAGGAGGAATGGACCAAACTTCGGGAGGGTGTTCCTTATGTTAAAGTATGCCGATATAACCCAAAACACCTATGTCCAAAGTTGAACGGTTACGGAGATAATGGCCAGAGAAGTGTCAAACTTTGACCGGCGTTGCACACTTGTTGATTACAAAATACATATTAAAACTGGCAGGAATATGTGGATTCTGTAATGTTAATAATGTACGTAACATCAAACTAACTTGTGAGTGACATGAAGCCATAAAATTGAAGTACAAAATACTCGCTCGCCATGTCATAATTGTCCTTAGGGTTTCCAAGCACTATACATGACACATGAATGGCAAGCGCTGACGTAACGTGCTGACTGCGCATTCTGGTATAAGCCAACTANAATGAAGAGAGCATTGAAGCTAGGAAAGTCAGTCATGTACACCCACTTAATTGCGTTGTGTGATGATCGGAAGGGTTTAGACACAATTGTGATTGCTGTGATTATTGACTTTCCTGTGCTTAATTCAAGGAATGTTACAAGTACTGTATTTATGTGTGGAGGTTCATAACCAATCATGCTCATTGTCTGCATTATGTACTTTGTATTTTCACAGGTGAACCAATTTTGTGAATCTTCCTTGTTACAGAGGAAAATTTTATGCAAATCTTGTTGTATTTAGTTCCTGTAAGAAATGCATTTTATTCTTGTATAATAAAATGTGACCCCTTTTGTAGCTGTTGTTACATTAATTTTAGGGTGGGGTGGTGATGATGGTGAGGTTGCTATGTGGCCTGTTACAAACACCAGTATTACTTGTTCACAGATGCTGTACATTTTAAACCCAAATTATGTTCCTTACACTTTTTCCAGCATATACAAGTACATATATTATTATATATTGTTAAAAGATAAGTGCAGTAGTGTATCTGGTTGAAGAACTATGGTACAAGCTGGAAGGTCATGGGTTCAAGTCCCGATGACGTGGATTCTTTTCAATTTACCTGATCCTTCCAGCCACACTATGGCTCTGGGGTCTACTCAGCCTCTAACAGAAATGAGTACCAGGAATCTTGCTGGGGGGTAAAGGGCGGCCAGTGCATAGGGCTGACAACCTAACCACCATCTTTGAGCTGACTGTCTAGAATATGTGGCAGCCTTGATGTCTCACAACCCTATGGGCCTCCACAGCCTGTTACAGGGATAGCTTTACTTAACCTCACCGTCATCTGTGAGCCAATTGTCTAGAAAATATGGGAGCCTTGATGTCTCACAACCCTATGGGCCTTCACAGCCTGGTACAGGGATAGCTTTACTTAACCTCACCGTCATCTGTGAGCCAATTGTCTAGAAAATATGGGAGCCTTGATGTCTCACAACCCTATGGGCCTTCACAGCCTGGTACAGGGATAGCTTTACTTAACCTCACCGTCATCTGTGAGCCAATTGTCTAGAAAATATGGGAGCCTTGATGTCTCACAACCCTATGGGCCTTCACAGCCTGGTACAGGGATAGCTTTACTTAACCTCACCGTCATCTGTGAGCCAATTGTCTAGAAAATATGGGAGCCTTGATGTCTCACAACCCTATGGGCCTTCACAGCCTGGTACAGGGATAGCTTTACTTAACCTCACCGTCATCTGTGAGCCAATTGTCTAGAAAATATGGGAGCCTTGATGTCTCACAACCCTATGGGCCTTCACAGCCTGGTACAGGGATAGCTTTACTTAACCTCACCGTCATCTGTGAGCCGATTGTCTAGAAAATATGGGAGCCTTGATGTCTCACAACCCTATGGGCCTTCACAGCCTTGGTACAAGGATAGCTTTACTTAACCTCACTGTCATCTGTGAGCCAATTGTCTAGAAAATGTGGGAGCCTTAATGTCTCACAACCTTATGGGCCTCCAGGGCCTGTTACAAGGATAGCTTTACCGTTTTTTTTTTTTTTAAATAAGTAGTGTCAAATTTGACTTTTTGACTGTTTTATCACACCAGATGTTGAATTGTGATGTTACAGATCCTTGGTTATTTATTTTTTTCATAAAAATGCCCAGAAAAGTATTACAGTACTTGCTATCAAATATGTGTCAAGTGTGTGAGATTTTAGGTTTTGGCAGTGGTGAATATTACTGGGATATGAGGCCATGAAGATGGAAGTAAGAGGAAATGTTGCTACCTGTCTGTCAATAACACGGCATCGTACCATAAAAGGCGACTATCCAATAAACAAGCAAAATTGACTAGCTGCCAAGAAATATAGTATGTTTGTTGTTCAAGTATTGAATCTGTTGTCATCTTACATTATTGTGTATGAGTATGTATAGATTGTTTTGAAATGTCTCTGTTGATAGAAAGGCATAATAACCAGCAAAGTCCTGCATTCATTCATTCTGAACTTCTGTAACTGAAGAAGTTGCCTCAAGCAATAATGCTCTTGGCCTATATTTGAGAGGTGCCTAATTTCAGTCTTGGCCAGGGCAGAATGAGTATCCTGGCAGGTTTACATGGTTTTCCTCAATCACCCTATAGAAATTCTGTGTGATAGTACCTCAAACTAGGCTACAAGCACTTCTCTCCATGTCCTTTCCAATTCATTCCCTCCTTGTCCAACCATTTGACATTATATACTCTTAAATGCTGACAGTGTCATTAAATAAACCATAACTAAATGAAAGTGAACATATGTAGATTCATCAAGAATTCAAAGAAGTAGGCGCAACATAATTTTCTATGGATTTCGTAAAGGATAAATTAGAAACTCAGGGGAACATGTACCAGAGTTCTTCAGAATATATCTTGAACGCTTAGAGGTACTTGAAAGTTTTCAAATGTTGCATTTTCAGTTTCATTACATTTAATTGGTGATAGGTGAAATATACCAACATAAGATAGATCCATCTCATAGAGTTAGTTTCCATTTTGTTATGTGTTGTAGGTATAATTATTTTCTAGATTACTTTTAAAGTTGGAGTGTAGGGAAACTGTATTTTACGATATTCCCTCTTGCATATCATAATAGTTGTCTATAAGACTAAATTTCAGTCATAGGTGTATGAGTCTACCATGTTGTCTGTGTATATGTGCGCTCATGTGTCCTGTTTTAACCTCTAAACCAATTGACCAAGTTTCAAGAAATCTGGTACTGACATATGCCATTCAAAGCCACCTTGTCATATAGTTTAATTCTGTAATAACAACATGGCATGTGCATGAGCTTATGAGGTGGGAAGAGTAATAGTGCACCTTAAACTGGGGCCCTGAAATGATGTATGGTAATAGATTTTGGAGAAATATGTAACTTTTGATCAAGTATTTTTTTTTATATGAACACAATGTTGACTGCATGAAATATATGTTTACCTTTTGGTTAGCAATAATTGCAAACGATAAAATTTTGACTTGCCCAGAATCTTATCTTAGATCATGAATGATTGAGTCCAGCACAGTAGCCCACAGGTGAAGTTGAATTTTGAATTCTGAATTTTTGAATTGTTGATTACATATTTACTTTATCTCAAGAACACAAGATTTTTAGGACTTAGAGAGTGTGTGTAATAAGAAAGTTGGCTTCATGAGTTATACCATGAACTAATTGTTCTTTCATATACCACACACACAGTTTATGTACTTAATGATTACCTCTCTTGATTCCTTTGTTTATTATAGAAGGGAGCAGGCTAGGCCTGTGTGACAATAAGAAGTAATTTCATTCTTTGTGTGTTTTCGTGGATTTTCTCGTATAATATGAAGAGAATATAAATTGAAGACAACACTCATATGCCACAACATCTCTTTATTAATTTTTTACATCCAAAATACCAATACAGGTTAGTACAAGAGCAAGCAAAAAGGCATGAGATATATGCATATATCTGTATAAATTACTTTATTATCCTAATAGTACAGTACATAATTTATACAGACAGTAATTTTATAGTAGATTGTGTATGGTTTTGTATCTACATACAGTTATATTCTGTGTGATGCCAAAGTTTAATTTGTTTTCATGACAGTAATAGACATCTGTTAATTGTGAAGAAGAATTTACTCCAATTTCAGATTAATTTTCTACCCCCTGACACAGTACGACTCCTGTGAAACTGTTCATCAACACTGAATTTATTACCAGATTATTTATAGGTACAGGAAATATTTTAGTGTTGGTAAGGTTAACAAATTTGAGTATTTGTTTCACCATCAAAAGTACAGTTATCCTACTAACCATAAAGGAAACATTACGACAATATCAGAAATTGAAGTGTGGCCTTTGGAAGCTGTGTTTGCCTTTGTATATGATGCCCAATGCTGCTCAAGTTTATGACAGAAAGTGCCTGGACAGATTAAAAGAAAGGCAGTGTTTAGGTGTATTCAAAATTTTCCCGCATATTTCAACCACAGTGATCAAAAATGGATGGCATATGACACAATAAAACACTGATAGAGCAAAATAGCTGAAATCTGAAAAAGACAGGTCATATTTGTGCGTGTGTTTAGTTATTAGTACAGATCAGTTTTAGTGGAGTCAAATTGTGAAGCAAACGTTTACAAGAATGTAATGTTCAGAATATTCTGAGAATATTTGAATGTGTTTTAGAGGTTAGTTGACTAGCTACCACATTATGCTCAAGTATTGAACTAAACTGTTTTATTTACAAGAGGCAGTTGAGGCAATTTTTATTTTCATATTGGAAAATTCAGTTTTGAAGACAGCTTAAACATATTTATTTAAATTAGATAAACGGATCGGCACTGATCAAACAACACTGTGGCGGGTTTTCATGGTGATGCTCTGGAAATGATGTATCACCTAATTCTCTGCTATGGAGCTTTCCACTGAAGAATGCTCTGAGAAGGGTGAACCCTGCAACAAAATAGATTGAATTATGGTCAGAGCCTGAGGATACAGATTTTCCAAAAGTGGGAACCTTGGCCCCAGGAGCGCCCAGGAGGGACAAACGTTTCCTGGGAATCACTTAAAAATGGGCCAGTAACAAATCACTTTCAAACCTAATAGGTCACATTAAATTATGAACCTCCAATTTAACAGAAAAAGTTCATCATATTGTTGAGGTTCATTACTAACGTTTCTTGAAATTACTAAATCACATTTTGAAATGTGGCACAGTTCAGATATTTGGGAACGAAGATAACAAATAAAAACCTGATCAAAGAAGAAATTAAGAAGAGATTGAACTCAGGTAATGCTTGCTACCATTCAGTCCAGAACCTTTTGTCTTCTTGTCTGCTGTCCAAAAACATAAAAATTAGAATATACAAAATATAATTTTGCCTGTGATTCTGTATGGGTGTGAAACTTGGTCTCTGACATGTATAGCAAGTGTCACGTAACTTCGAACAAGGCCAAGAGCGCCAAGAGTTATCTTGAATGCGCAGAAGAAAAATTTCGGACAACGGGGGGGGGCGTTTGCGGGAATTCGTGGCCTTGTTCGAAGTTACGTGACACTGTCTCTAGCACGAACGGGTGACAGGAAAAATGCATATAGGATATTTGTGGGAAAACCGAAGGAAGGAGACCACTGGGAAGACCAAGGCGTAGGTGGGTGGACAATATTATAATGGATCTCAGACAGATAGAATGGGATGGTATGGATGGGATTAATCTGGCTCAGGATAATGACTGCTGGAGGGCTCCTGTGAACACGGTAATGAAACTTCAGGTTCCATAAAATGCTAGGAAGTTCTTAACTAGCTGCACAATTGGCAGCTTCTCAAGAAGGGCTCAGCTCCATGAGTGAGTGAGTTATTTTTAAAGAATGGAGTGGCCGAACATTTTTATTCACATCAAGGGAACCTTCAACTATAAGAGTTTCAGAACCATCCTGTTATGAAATCTAAAAACATCCTCTGCTTGCAGATGCAGACTGAAGCAACATAAAGTCCTCTAACAAAGCCTTTTGTCTCCCACAAAACATAAAGTCACACTACCCTCTCTGGGGTAGAGCCTCGTATCATTTGGATGGAAGGCTGCTTAGTTCGCAATACTGTGGGAGAATCAATACTTCAGTATTCATAAACCCGGTACCAGATGGAGGTGAATGGTTAGCTTCACGCCCCGGCCGCTGTACCCCCTGGGAAAGAGTTCCCAGTACCTATCCGATAGGAGGCTGGGTGAGCTCCAGGGTCGGTTTGGATGCTGTAGAAAAGAGAAAAACATGCTGCTTCTTCCGGGAATCGAACCCCGGCCGTCCAACCCGTCCCTATGCCGACTGAGCTGTCTTCCTATACATACAGGCAATTTTATGTTATTTCATTGTCAGTTTTATGGATAACAAAATTATGAGTCGCCGGTTAGATATTGTTACTTACAGTCCCGTCACAACTATTTCTTTTTACTGAGCGGGTTGACATAGCTGTTTTCCGTGATTTTCTTCACTCGCTTCAGACTAATGTCTAACTAAACACTGGATCAGCATCGTCGCCTTCCACATCCTTTCTAATTCATTATTCATGCTTTAATTCAATGCTGTCAGTTTAGCTACCGAGGACATCCTAAAAGAGCCCACACAAAAATATTTCGGCTTTTATTCCATGCTGTATAGTCTGGCCAATTGAAAATGTAGCCAAATAAACGAAGAATAAGTGAAGTGGCGACACGGTATCGATCTCAGGTTGGGTAATGTGGGATTTGTGGTGTACGAAGCGGCAGTGATGCTCCGGTTTCCCCTGCCAATTCTCGTTCCCACCAACTGCTCAAAATTCATTGGTCATTCTGTCAATCGACGCTACATGACTTCGATGCTGAAAGCATCGTTAAATAACCAACTTAAAAAATTCGTGAACGTAGTTTCTTGACTTGAAGACCGTTGATGACGTTAATCGAATTCTCCCGTTACATTACAACGATACAGAACTTTTCCTCAAATAGAAGTTGGACTACTCTGGCCCTTCGTCGTGTAGCCTTAAAACAGGAAAGCAAATAGGCCCTGTTTAAATTATACCAAAGTGTCGCGGTAGCAATTCCGTCTCATCGACCGCCTCTGTGGTCTAGTGGTCAGAGTTCCTGGCTACAGATCCAGAGGTCCGCGTTCGATTCCCGAAGCTACAAGATTTTCTGAGAAATAGTGGGTCTGGAACGTTGTCCACTCAGCCTCGTGAGGATAATTGAGGAGCTATTTCAAGGAAATAGCTGCTCCGGTCTAGAAAACCGAGATTAACGACCGTGGGGATTCGTTGTGCTCACCACGCGACACCCTCTATCCGCTAAAGTTCGCACTAACTATGCCGACAAACGGCGGTCGATATAGTTCGCTTGCGGACTAAAGCGACGGAGTTTTGTTTATTTGTATTCGAGCCGTTCCTTGGTCTGACTTTTTGGTCCCGGAGACCAGCTATCCTGAATGACGGTTTTCTTGGGATCAAATTTCGGGATGTTACCTCAGATCAGTCACGGTCACATTAGCGTTGGACCGTATACACTCTGAGTTACTAATGTGGTCGTTAAATAAACACAAATAAATAAACGAATATAAATACATGAATGGATAAATATACTTAAATAAACAACACAATAAAATAAATACGCCAAATACGTAGATTAGTAATTAAATAAATTAAGTTTGTTTGAGGTTCCTGCGAAAAACGTAATTTCATCGTCAAAACCATCAAAACTTTCCGCGCTACAGTAAATTGACCTCTATCATGGTGTCCAACTCGCGGCACGCAGGTCCCATTTGGTGCGCCAGTTGCTTTTCTGCGGCCCACATGAGTATCCTTCCATTCTACAAAGCATGTGTTAAGGCATTCTTCCGTTTAAGGAAAGACAGCGAATCATGTCTAAACACACTTCACAAGAAGAAGCGATTTTTTATGTAACATTGCAATGTATTTTTCTATACAAGAGAATCTTCGTAATGTTGCGTGAAATTATGGTTATGCAGTACGCCGATAGAGAATTGAAGGCGCTGGTTGTAGATAGTACTAATTCTGCTGGTAGGTGGGTCTGCCAACAACAGCCTTTCCATCGTCAGCTGTGGTCATTTTCATGAAAAAAAAAAAAAAACTTATACAGAAGAGTTCTTTTTTAAACTTTTTTCAATATATTGGAAGTTTGGTCTGAGTGTGAATAAGGCTAAGCGGAGCCACATATAAAACTTTCGAAAGTTCTGGGTCAAATTCTTATTCCTGGTTTAATTTGCTTCGCAAGTTTTGTCATTACAGGGCGCACATTTTTATCCTTATATTGGAAAATAATATAGGTCTATATTTTTTCGTAACGTGCCCAGTGCTTAGGTGCCTCAGATACAGGGCTTTGGCATTGGACACCCCTGATCTATATCATTGCTGATATCACGACATCACGACGATCGCTATAGGCCCTGCAGTGAGCATATCGTTTCATTTTGTTACGTGCGCGCCGAGTTTTGGCGGTTGGAGGGAAGTATAATCAGACATGTTTGTGCGTTTACGTCGATCGAAAGCATGTCTTGGTGAGTGGGAACTGTTTATGAAAGTGGTGACAAGCCCGTGTGACAGTGTGACATTACATATTGTGCGTGAATGCCAGTTTGTGCAGGAACTAACATTTTTAGTGTAAGCTAAAGACGGAAGTGCGATCTATAACCAAACCTCCAATTTGCATCATGCAGACGCGTGATGATCTGACCAACCAAGTCAAATGGCAGGCGGCGTTGCAGGTAGGAAAACAGTTATGATACCCGCAGTTTCTGCTTTTAGTATCAAGGAATACGCGTAAGGTTTGATGTTATCACGACTCTGTAATTTCTGGCCGGTTTAAAATAATTCAGACTATGTAGCCTCGAACGAGGATGAGGTTGGCAGGGCATGTAGCACGAATGGGAGGAGAAGAGAAATGCATAGAGGATATTGGTGGGAAAGCCAGAAAGAAAGAGACCACTGGGAAGATCAAGGAGTTTGTGGGTGGACAGTATTAAAATTGATCTTTAAGAGATAGGATGAGATGGTATGGATTGGATTGGTCTGGCTCAGGATAGGGGCCAGTGGAGGGCTCTTGTGAACACGGTAATGAACCTTTGGGTTCCATTAAATGGTGGGAAATTTTGAGTAGCTGCACGGTTGGCGGTTTCTCAAGAAGAGCTCAACTCCATGAGTCAGTGAGTGAGTGAGTGAGTGAGTGAGTGAGTGAGTGATGTAGCCTCGAATTCTAAGGCGGTCGATGAATGATGATTTAGAAATTTTTATTAGAAGAAATTGATTGTGGTCTAAAATGGAGGGACTGAGGAAAAGCACATGTAACGTAAGGCATACTGTGTGTTAGTCGACATTCGAGCCGAGCACCTGCCAAATACAGTTCCGTATCGTTACTACATCTGGGTTATGGAACCATGAAGTCTGGTACATGGGTAACAACGTTTCCGAGGAACGTGCGCCCTTTAATTTTGAGATATAAAAATGAGACACTATGTTCATCTAAGACGCTAGTAGCCACCTACCAGACTACACGGTGCCGTATTCCTGAAAATCGCAATATGAAGAAATGCATGATTTTTAAATAGCGATTTTAATGTGGTCCTCTTTCGATATATATTTAAATTAATTTTTTGTTTTCTCATGGAAGACTTTCCAAAATATATAGACCTACAATTATTAATAACATTAATCGTATTTTCTTAAATAATATGACGCACAACAGGGATGTGAATTTGACCACGCTGTTAGGCCCCATTTTACACATCGCTCGGCGATAAACAAAACACCGAGTCAACATCAAGTTTACTTCCCACATGAAGTACGTAGTTCCTACATTAGTCGACAGAGTGCGCTGACGTGGCGGTAGCGCTCTGGACTCGTGTTCGCTTGTTTTTGAGCGGTGCTCGGTTCGAATTACAGCTAAGATTCCGCCTATCCTGAGTGATATTTTCATAGTTTTCAGCAGCCATTTTAGGAGAATGCCAGAAAATATCGCGAATAGGACATGACTGTTTCCTTCCAAATCCTTTTCAATCCACTATCATCCTAATCCACGCTGTATAGTCTAGACAACTCAGAGACGAAAGAAAGTTTGATTTCAGTAATACGAGTATAAACAGAAGTATATTTCTTGGATTTGAGCCTGATTGCACTTATTTCTTACTAGTCATAGTCTTTAGGTCCTGAAGATGGAGGCGATATGTTATTCCGAAACAAGGCAATGTTATTCTGAAACGTTGAGTTATCTCCGAATTACATGTCATTACAACCCAGAATGCTGCACTCATCAGATTGACACAAATTCAGTATATTGGGGTAGACGATATAGCATCGAATGTTACCACCATTACTGCGTGGCTAACTGGAAAGCATTTGGAACGAAGTGGTCGAGGCCTGCTGGCGGTATTTCTCTGCTTTTGTCTAGCGGGACTGAGGATGACCACGAGAAATTCAGGTTAGCCGTTGTTCTGGCCGAAACTCGAATTTAACACCTCCAGAACATGAGTGTAAATCATTCCTACTGCACCATACCGCTGTGTTAGCGTCCAGTTGCTGTTAACAAATCATACACGTGACACCAAAAGGCCAAAGACCACAATTAATTTACACAGTCCATTAACATTTTATCTGTTGATATAACAAATCAATTTTGAAGTAAATTATAAAACAATTTGGGATTGCTGTCAGTGTGTCAGACTACAGCAATATTCCAGCAATAAATTGACAATTTAATTGTGAACCCTCATTTATGATACAGCACTGCAGATCCTGTCACTGTGCCCCCATTCGGAGCGCCACCTCAACCCTTTAAAGAGTGAAGTTCGCAAATAAATAATATTGTCACGTGTATGAGTGACTATAGACAGGGTTTTGGGTTCGATATTTGACTTATTGACTGCTTATACACACAACTCGTAAGTACAAGTAATTACAACAGTCACACTGGGCTACACACCCCAAATATCACTGTACTCACGACAGACATGAAGTCTTCTCAGTCTTCACTACCTGACTTTCAATTGACTCTTTTCTTCACACACCCGTGCAGAAATGACTTGGTTGCCCCAGTTGCCTTCCTTAAAACTCGTCGGCACGACTCGCACAGACTACGTAGTTCCTCTGTTGCATGCGTATCCGTTGCCGAGGGAACATGTTTACCGACCCGTTCCCTAGCAGCCGCATTCTGTTCTTGCTTGTTAAGAATCTGCTGCCAATCAACGGACGTCGTTCCGTCGTCTATTTCACGGCCGTTTCCTAGAAACGAGTGTTGTTTCAGACCCGTTCGCTAGTAACGGCTGTTTTCTGGCTCCACAATTCTTGCTTTGAGCAAATATGCCACAGCTGTCTCACGGATAGCACACCGCGTCCCAATTACAAAGTTCCACCGGATAATATTGTTTAGGAAAATAACCTGTGTTCACTCTAAGAAGCTTGGGGATGGTGGCATAGTGCTGAAATAATTAAACACTACGCCATGAAGACATATGGCTGTGGAGGTATGGCTCCCGCATTCTCGATCTCAGCACTGGATGGAAGTGAGTGGTCAGTTTCACGCCCCGGTACCCAATGGGTAGGAGACTGGATAGGCCCCAGAACTGGCCTGGACGAAGTGGAAAGAGAAAAATCTTGCCCTTACCGGGATTCGAACTCCGACCCCTTGGTCTTCCAGTTCGTAGTCAGTCGCTATACCGACTGAGCTAGGCCAGATATCCTATCACAGACAAGGATCCTGAGCGCTGAGGGAACGGAGAAAGAGCTTACCGTCAGCAGGGGATCAGCCCGTCGTCCGAAGCGCAGTCTCAGTGAGGGCGATCGGTTCGCCTTCCTCACGATGTCATGCTGACCTTGCTGCTGCAGTCGGTTCTCCAAAGCCTCCTTCTGCATCAAAAGCTCGTACAGGTCGCGGACACCTGCGGGCAAACAGACGGCCGTTGTTCAGCTCTCTACAAATTGTGTGGTGCACAGCAAGAGAGCTGGTGAAACATTCTAACCCACGTAGCATCTTCTGCAGTCCCATAAATGCCAACTGTCGAGAATATCGAGCTTCAGTTTACGTATCTGACAGACATGTGACATCTGTTGGTATTTTATCCGAACTACACAGTGAATAAGATATTTGGCGACAATTCTTTTCTTTATGTTTGAATACCCTAGGGAATTCTTGCATTTTATTTACTCGCAAAAAATCCATCCATCCACCCATTTCTGTTGCTCCCTCTTTGGACCACAGGGTATTCGTGAAACGCTTTGTTTCGCTTCAGTTCCTTAGCTTAGACAGTCGGTAGGATCAGTTAGACGGGGCATCAGACCCTCACAATGTCGCTACCTACGCAGGACAAGACAAACACAGAATAAAAGCAGATGCACATTCATGCCTTGAGTGGGATTCGAACCCACGATCCCAGTGTTCGAGCGGACGAAGACGTTTCATGCACTAGACCGCGCGGCCACTGTGATCGGCCGCAAAAGAATAGGGGCTTGTAAAATGTAAAAGGCAAAGTTATCCCTGTAACAGGCCGTGGAGGGCTATAGGGTTGTGAGGCTCTCACATTTTCTAGAAAATCAGCTCACAGATGGCGGTGAGGTTAAGTAAAGCTGTCCCTGTAAGAGGCTGTGAAGGCCCATAGGATTGTGAGACGTCGAGGCTCCCACATTTTCTAGATATAATCGACTCACAGATGGCGGTGAGGTCAGCTTTGAGCGCCGGCCGCCCTTTATCCTCAGGTAGATTCCTGGTACTCATTTCTATTAGAGGCTGAGTCAACCCCAGGGCCATAGTGTGGCTGGAAGGATTGTGGCTTGGAACTACAGGAACGAAAACTGGCATTTCTAGGTTTAACAGTGAGAAACCTTGTATTTTTCACACGCTGTATGATTCAATTCAGTTCAGGTTTCAAGATGGTGTCGGTATTGTGATTCGGAGCGTCGATGACGAGAGGTAGCAGCGGGATCCGACTCTCGCACAGGGACTGGCTATCTTGGCCGAGGTTTCTTGATTTTCCTCAGTCACTGCAGGTAACTGCGGGGGTAGTAGTCCAACTTAAGTTATATCCTCTTCCTTCCACATACTTTCCAATTCATTGCTCCTATGTCATTCTCCCATTCGACGTTATATGGTCCTAGTTATTTACAGCGTCAGATAAATGGCTGTTGGAAGGGGGCGACACAGAATTCGTAATTAGATGGTGGCCTGAAATGGACCTACTGTACCAGTCTGTGCCCATAGGTCATTGTGGAGCAGCGGTAGAATGATAATTGACAGGGAAAGGCGGCAGTGACCTGCAATTCTGTTTGTAGCCGGCAAAACCCACCTGACTGATGCCATAATTCGCTTAATTAATCACCACTCCATGTAGACGTATGGAAGAGTGAAGATATAGCTCCACTATTTTTAACTTCAACACTAGTTGGAGGTGAGTGATCGGCTTCACGTCCCTGTCGCTTTAACCCCGGGGAGACAGCCTCTGGTACTCACTGGGCAAGAGGCTGGGTGGACACGCTGTGGAGAAGAGACAATTTTTTGACCCTGCCTGGAATCGAGCGACGAACCCTCAATCATCTAACCCGTAGCCTAGTCACTATACCAACTGAGCTTCCCCTGCTCCCACCACAAATATAACTATACAGAACATGTCTTTATGTGGACCTGGGATAGCTCAGTCGGTATACAGACTCGCGCATGGGCTGGACGACCGAATAATCCGGTGTCGGTTGCCGGCAGTCACAAATTTCCTCTCCCCCGTACAGCGTTCAGAGTGCCGCTGGGGAGCACCCAACCTTCCATCTAATGGGTACCAGGATCTTGTTTTTCTGCGGACAAAGCGGCTAAAGCATGAAACTGACCAGTCTCCTCCAACCAGCGCCGAGGCTGAGAATTCGTGGAGCTATGCCTCCACTCCTGGCCTCCTGCCTCTTTAAGCATAGGGACAAATTTACTTTCAGGAAGAGTAAGCCGAATATCTTCTGAAATGTTACGCCGTGTAGTTTGGTAGTAGCTCATCGACATTTCGGTGGAACATACTGACTCCATTTGCAGTGTCGAAGACTTAGCGAAGCATGCAACCAGCAGAAGTAGGGCGGCAGGCTCAGTCTGAAGATAGAGGCGATATGTTCCTCCGAAAAGTCGGTCTCTCTCTTTCTCTACGTACTATGCCGCGTTATGAGGCAAAAGATCACGATTTTCAATCTGACATCTTGTTTTCTACACAGAACATTAATTTTATTAGTTTACATACATTGAAACAGGGGGCACGCGGCAGCGTAGTCGGTTCAGGCACTATGCTACAAGCCGGAAAGTCGCGGGTTGGGTTCCTGATGATGCTATTGGATTTTTCAATGGACCTAATCCTTCCAGCCCCACTTTGGCTCTGAGGTCGCCTCAGCCTCTAACAGAAATGAGTACGAGGAATTTTCCTAGGAGTAAAGGGCGGCCGGCGCGTAAGGCTGACAACCTCATACCCATCTGTGAGCTGATTGTCTAGAAAATGTGGGAGCCTCGGCGTCTCACAGACCTATAAGTCTCCACGGCATGTTACAGGTATTTTTTTATATTGAAATATATTACAAGAGCTTATAGCCTGTTTAATTTTCGACCTCTCCGTTTGAAGTGTACATTCTATGGGAGGATAATATTAAGATAGATCACAGAGATATAGGATAGGGTGTTTTCTGTTAGGTGCGCCCTGAGGCTGTATAACGAGGATCCCAGGCCAGCTGAGGGAATAATTGAGGCAGTCTCTTGAGACGGCAGTTGAATAATTAAGAAGAGATGGCAAGAAAGGAATTTCATGTATGCTGCAGTCACAGTGAGACTGGTATAATTACTGTGTTGAAATCCGTTGCCAGGATACGACTAGTGAAGTCTGAGGACACTACTGCGTTTGTAACGGTGAACTGTAAGTGTGGAGATCAGCGACAGCGCTGTAATTTCCAGTAGTTCTGAGTGTTGTGTGTACAAGTGGTCAATAAATCCATTCACCAATCCATACCCATCCCAATCCCTAAAATATGTGACAATAGTGTTACGTATAATAATTGTGGCTTCTGGATTTATTGGACGTCTCTATTACAGTTACAGATGATTACAACAGCTGACACATTTGACTCCTTCTTGATAACGCCTCTCTCACTGTATTTCTTCTGGCTATCGGACTGGTCTGTAGCCTTCCACTACTCGGTACGGCTCTCCAGTATGACGCCTACCCTGTCTGAGTCTGAGTGTCATGTTACGACCGACGGTCAATCGGCCAGTCTGTCTTGGTGTCAAGCACCCATCTGGGGCTTACGACCAGATTTTTATTACTGTCAGACAGTTGCTGGTTTGTTGATGTGGGGCGCTCTCTCTGACGAGAGGATGACTCTGTCGTTTACAACAGCTGCTGGCCTTCGCCAGCGCAGTAATTTTCGACTTAGAGTCCCGCGGGACTGATGACCATATTTTACTGCCTCAAACTGAAGACTCTCCCAACCTGGAGGGCCAGGTCTCCGTATTTATATCCCCCAGGAACAGGGTTGTCCGGTTATACCCCTAGGCACTGGGTTCCCTTTTCGTCGCCTCATACGACTCGCAGGGCTACAGTGGAGGTATTCGATTCTGTCTCTACACGGGAGACTCTCTCTCTCTCTCTCTCTCTCCTTCCTTCCACTCCTTTCATGACTTGGGAAGAGCCGTATAGAAGACACCCACTAGAACTGTTTGTCTGTTGTAATCTGCATACTCCTTGCCACGGTAACCCATGTACCAATTCCAAAGTAACCGTTACGTTTCTAAGTGTTTACAAATTGTTACCTGGCAACGACACGTTTGCGATCTGTTGTAACGGAAATTTAGCCGTTGCTTATCAACGGACGTCTGGCTCCGGCTCCATTATGCTGGTTTTCAGGCGTCATGTCACAATAAGAAACACGCAGAATGCAGTGTTTTAGTGGTATATAATAGTAACCACTGCGCTTTAAAGATCTCTGTAGTCAGACAACGCTTCCCACTGTTATGTATTACCTGAGCTGTGCTCGATTTTGCAGCCGCAGTTGTTTGTGTTGCTGTTTTCAGTCGCGCCTGTAATCAGCAACCCGAATCATCGAATTGTAAGCGATGTGTATAGGCGGCGGATTAGTGGAAGATGGGATTATGGGAATGTGACAAGCGGTAGGAACAGCTCTCCGTGCTGTAGTTGCGTGACTCCTTGGGCAAACATTATGCGCTATGTAGCCACGTTTATTAAAAAAACAATGTCATTGTTACAGATCGCGCAGGCCGCGTCATAGCTCAAGCGGTTAGCCGCTGGCTTCCCACCGCGGCGGCCCGGGTTCGATCACGGGTCTGGTCAAGTGGGACTTGTGGTGGACAAAGTGACAATAGGGCAAGTTTTCTCCGAGTACTTCGGTTTCCCCTGCCAATCTTCATTACACCAAATTCTCCATCGTCATAATCACCCGGGGCAGGCTACAATAGGCCAATCAGTGGCCGCCGTGCCGAGTGGATCCAGTTGGACTCAACCCTCCACTAAGCGAATTAAAAGAAATTACAGATCGCGCAGGCAACAAACAATGAAACATACGTAGGTACACGAAGAAACACGCAGCACAGTCGGATGTGCTCGCGTGAGAGACGTTGAAGGGTTAGCAGAAAGTTTTTTTGTAAATTTATATTCAGGTCTTTTAAGAACATTTTTTTACTGATCGACCTAATGTTGAGGCTGTATACAGAATGTCCCAAGAGGAAAGGTCAATATTCTGGGAAGTCACAGTATCGGTCACTCTAAGCAAAAAAGTGTATATGTACATGAACGGTTTCCGAGATACAGCTGTTTCACTGTACAGTTCCAAAATTGTTGATAAGGGCCCCCATACACACACAGTTTGGCCTCCAGTTCGGCCTGCACACTTGAAGACTGAAAGGCAAAACTGACGT